GATTCAGCAGGGATAAAGTAGGAGAAACTATCTCCATCTTAACTCACATTTCAATTGGGCAGTAACACTGGACTTTTGTGTTCCCCTTTTAAAATTAACATTTTTTTCCTTCAAAGACCCTATCAATGACAGCTGAAGAATGGGGAGAAAGAGGGACCATGTTTAAGGTCAATGTGTAATCATAAATTAAGAGGGAACATGTGGAATATATGTTTTTTAAAGAGGTCCCTTTAATTCTAGGGTTTCAGCTTGGTCACCCCTCTATAAAAATTTGAGGCAAATACTAAATGAATAAGGACTGGGAGGAATAGAGATAGTTTCAAAAATTCCCTGGGCCTCTGTTTTATCTATGAGAGGTTTCCCCCAAAAAAGTATTGTTCTAGATAGGACTTGGTTATTTCAATTGGTATCTTTATCCTGTACCATATGCACTTTAAAGCTTCAGACAGTCCTCTCGTCTCCTTTTTTTTTAAATAGAAATCACACAAAAAAGATATCTATGTATCAGTTTCTAACACCTAACAGGAAAGTCTTTTAGAATATTAAAATAGCAATAAGCAAATATGTACTATAGGATTAAACACTAGCATTTAAACAAACCAAAAACAAAGAATCAACAAAATTTTCTTCTTGTTTTTGCTCCCTCATATTCTGAACTTCATGATCATTGCAAGAGAGGGGCATAAAGAATTACAATTCTTCTATTAAAATTTTTTTTAAATAAATGATGCCATAATGACGGATAAATCAGATTTATCTTTTGAAAACACTGATGGGAAAGCCCAGGTGATTTGAGTGGGAATGCTCTTTCTTATGAAGAGAGCCAAACAGGAACCATCTCTAATAAATTAGTACACTCTTTTAAGATTAAAAATAGCAAAACCATTTTAAATAGTCTGATTATAGCTTCAACAAGTCAAACATACACTTCTATCTAGCCTATAGTTTTAAAGAGTCTATGTGGGTTTAACTTATCATCCCTCATTCCAATATAAAAAAAGAAGAAAGAACCAAGTCATTTTTGAACATTAAGATATTCATAAAGACTGTATAAAGTAAAAAACAAAACAAAAAAACCCCGAAAACAAAAACAAAAACAAATCTTCACAGATTGTTAGCCATCTCTTTCAACGATTTCTCATAAATTCTTCTCTTTCCTTATCAGTAGATAACCCCCATCTCATAAGGAAATACTTTCCAACACTTCCCAATGAGATCAGTGATTGCTTTTTATGAGAGCTACTGCTCTTTGAGATGTTTAGATGAAGGGAGAGTATCTTCTATAAATCAGTAAATGCCAAAGAATGACTTAAGGGGGATGTGGCAGAAGCTATTTTTAGCAGATTTAATCTATGCATTTTAACTCTTTGTTTTTATTTTCTCCACTTGCTGAATATCTGTTTTAGAGCAGAGAGCACAAAAATCAGTAAGTAATTTCATCATGTTTTGTTCTGCCATTTGCCTGTAAGGTCCTTTTTTTCCCCATGTATACTCTATGCTCTTGATCGAGGTGTTTGGATTGGATAACATATTGCTAATTTTGCTGAGTTTGAGAGCCAGCAGAATAACAGAGCCTTCTAACTTTACAAAAATTCCATCTTCTGTCCCTACACCCCCAAACTCACAATTTGGTGAACAGTACGCTACTTGTGAGTGATAAAAAGTTGAAAGGTGGTGGCGACTAGACCTCATGCTATTTTATTAAGCCATCTATCTATAGAATTGTTGTTTTCATACTTTAAAAAAATATGTCTATGCTTTCTTTTTTTTCCTTTTTTTTTCCTTTTTTTTTTTTTTTTTTTTAGTCAAGTACTTTCTTAAAGAAACAATAGCACCACATTGGCATAGCCGGCCAAACAATAAATGGGAAAGCAAAATGTGCTACATCTTCCATTTAAGCAGTCTCCCAAGTGCATAAACTAGTAACAGAAACCCTGGAGCCACAGTGCATGAGATGGTGTCATCTACACAAACATTGACATTCCAAGGAGGCGATGGATTCTCAAGGGAGGCTAGGCCTTTTTTTTTCCCCCCAATAAGTTTTTTCAAGGAAGTGATTTCTTCTCAGTATTCCACTGGACTCTTAGATTGAGTGTGTGCGCACGTGCACGTGCCTGTCGGGGGGTGGGTGTTGCAAGTTTTTCTTTATTTCTAGAAGAGTGGATTCTGATGGAAGGATACATTAACTTTTTCAGTGGATCCTCCTCATCTTAAAGTGTTCAAAAGATACTGTAATGTTATTTGGGGAACTGGGAACCGAAATTTGATCTAGGTATTCAGTATTGTCAGTTAAATTAAAGCTAAGCCTGTAAACTGAAAGCTCATTCTTACCGATATTTATAGCTTTTTCATAAGCATTTTGAAATTGCCTCATTTGAAAAATCCAAAGCAAAGCTTGTAAAAGTTTTGAGATGTGAAATTTTAGGTGCTCCTTTCTATCGATCCTGGGTCATTCTGCTGTAGTATGTAGATCAACTGATTTTTGAGGTTTTACATCGATTTGTCTTCTAGTTTTATTTTATTTAAAAATAAGATAGTGAGTTAGTATAATTAGTTAATTTTTAGTTCATTGATTTATGATACAGTTGGAGAGGATTATGTGTTGGAAAAAATGAAGAAAGATAATAAAGCTTTGCATATTAAAGCCTTCCTCACTAGGGTAGTTTTGGCTGTGAATAGAATTATTAAGTGAATCAAATAAGTCATAGATACTCTTAGAATTACCATATCCAACTGTGCCTGGAAACCCATAGGTCTGCAGAGGATTGCATGTAAACTGTTGCTGAGAGACAGCAATTTTAAAAGGTACACATGAAGAAAAAGAAATAAAAACCAGAAGTGCCATTTTGGGAAGAGAGGTCCAGCATCTAAATCCACAGAACACATCTGTCTGGAAAACAGATAAAGGGCAAAAATGACTTCTAGTTTCTTTTACATTTGTCTATAGTGATCACAACATTGCTCAGCCTGACAGAGGTGCTCAATTCAAGTAATGCTGAGGGTCTGAGGGTTTAAGCACTTATTGGCTGAGCAGGGGTACCCACTATATAGGGCTTCTTTTTGCATATGTTTGAAGATCCAGGAAGTCTTAGACGTTTTCTGGTTTCTGAACCTTGAGGTGAACCAGTGGGATGAAAACTAAAGATGCTATTTTGGTTTTCCATGTACAATTTCCAAGAACAAAGAAATACACTTTGCATGAAGTAATCTAGCCTGGTGGCTTTTCACCAAAAAGTTTGAAGGCAGATAAAAAGATCTGAATGATGGATGATTCATTGTTCTAATAAGAAAATCTTAAAATGTAGTTGGGAAACATTTTCTAGGTCACCATGGGCCTATCCTCACTGTTGGATTTTCTTGATATCAATTTTCAGTTGAATGGATAAGATGCATCCGCAGAAGGCCAGGGGTCACTCTTGTCAGCAGACATAAAAGAAAATTTCTAGTTCTAAAGGAAAATTTTGCCTCTCAACTAGCAACTCTAGTCAAGCATATTTTAACAAAAATTAAAAAAATGTATATGTAAATATAGCTAAGGATAAGAGCAAAATTTATTAAAGAAAGTGATTTTGTGATTTTTTTAGAATTAGATATTATTTCAATATTTGAAATCCTGGGCCATTTTTTTTTAGGTGGTTACCCAAAGAGAAGGAATAACTATATTGTTCAAAATGAACAGAGTATCATTTATAATATTACAAGAAGTATTACTAGATTACTAGTAACTGCCTGGGTGAGTCAATGAGTGCTAACAGATGGAGTAGTCCCTCTTTCACTGGTGGAAATCTTTTTTTTTTTTCTTTTCCTTTCTCTCTTTGCACTTTGTATTCATAAATCCAAATGCAGAATTCAGATCTGATTGTGTATCAGATATTTCTTACTTATTTTGAAAGGGTTTTAAAAGAGATGGAGCTGGCAGCTTTTAACAACTAGGTAATTGGATAGTTTGTGGGCTAGCTACATTGACAAGAATCAGCACGTCAGGAACATTCAGCTGATCAGTTTCCTAGTTATGCGGTGAATGGGTTGTTTCTACAATTCCTTGCCTCCCAGCAACTGAAGGGCTCTGAACTTGTGCCCTTATAGCAACCCAGAATAAAATCTGGAGCTTTATCTTTGTAATCTTCATACCACCCCTGTGAGGTAGGTAGATGGCGTTTTGCCCCCATTTTGTAGATGAGGAAACAGGCACAGAGAGGTGAAGTGACTTGCCCAAAGTCACACAATGGTGAGTCCGTGACAGAGTTGGCAAATGTTTATTTCTTCAGTGAGAAATAGAAGCCAGGACTGTTAAATTCCTAGCCTTCTGCTTTTTCCACTCCTCTCTGGACTCCCCAGTCAAATTTGCATTAGCGGACTTTGTGTCTTAAGTTTTTCTTGGAAGTCATCATTGGGAGAATTTTGCCTTCTTTCCCAAATGGATGGATTTTTAGGACCCTTCCCCTTCGTATCATCTTGGGCTCCAGGCTTCTTCTGTTTTGCTTTCACCTTTTACCGTTTTGGCCAGACTCTTTCATATAACAAACTACAAAATAGCACCATTGTACTAAAAAAACAGAGTTTTACATACTGTTTGTGATATATCCTGTATTCTTGATATGCTAAATTTACATAGTGCTCTATATGGAAAAAAAAAGAGAAGTTACTAATCAGTTTGCACATTAACTCATCATTTGAAGGAACTGTTGAGAGTTTGAGACTTCCTATGCTTAAAACATATGCCTAAAAATGATTGGCCTCAAAATTTTTTCTAGCAAGATGTGGAAAAATAAAGCTTTGTGTCTAAAATAAATGAATCCAACTTATATTTGGTACAAATGCCACAGATGGAATCTTTTGGGTTAAAATCTTTTGGGTGTGCTACTTGACTGCTTGTTGCTGCTCTTGAGGAGGCCAAATTTGGCAAATATAAAGATGAAGTGGGGGGAGGGTGAATATAGACAAGATTATCAGACAATGTAAAACAAATGGCCTGTGTTGCGTAGAAAGAAGTGCAAATTAAAAAAAAAAAAAAGAATAAACCACTTAGACAAGACTGCTGAATGAATGGCTCCAGCAGCCAAGACTCAGAAACAAATTTAGTGCAACTGGATCTATACAACGCCCATGCATTTGTGGCTCTTGAGAAGCAGGGACTAAGATATATTTATATATATATTTTTCTCTATAGAACATTATTGATAAAGGATCAACAGCAATCTACCAACTCCAGGACCATTTTTGCAAGGTGCAAAGCTTTTAACAATCACTCCTAAAGACAATGTTGGAATGTTTACTTGCGTATTTCATTGGGGGGAATGCCCGTCTTTTGAAATGTTATCAAACTTATTTTTTTTTGGTAAGTCTTCTGATGTTTATCAGGTAACTCCTACAGAGCAAATGATCCTGCCGGTGGCATGTCATTCTTCACAATTCAGGAAGGTCTTCCTACATTCTGTAGTTCTTGTTTCCTGCACTCCCTCTACTTGCGTTCTTCAAATGTACTTCCTAAAAATAAGGGAGAAAAAGTGACATTAATTTGATGAAGTTTTATGTACCCTACCCATCTATTTCTAACACTGGGTCTCAACCTTTCATATTTGATGCTTCATCGGTCAATCTCACGGACACCTTGAGCCTGTTTTTTTTCTAAGAAAAACATATGTAAGTAGATAGGCCTTTAGTTTTTAGTGCAGTCAAACTTTACTCAGGCTACTTTTATGTGTCCCTGGTGTCATGGGGACTACAGATTGCTTTATAATCACACAAAAATGTGTTTCTATTCATCTGCCACTATCATGGACTCATTGACCAGAAGGAGAATGAAAAATCCAGAATTCTGGCCTGTGGCATCTTTTCCTACTAAGAGGGGGGGCGGAAAAGGACATTCTGGGATCATCCTCTGTAGTTTTATTGCATTTTGTTTTGGTTTAATTTTTGTAAAAAGGAGACATTTTTCATTTTCTTCTTTTTCTCCTATGGAGAAAGGGAGAATTTTAGAAGTAGAAGATTGGGAAGTTTTATAATTGACTTAGAATCTGTAAAATCACAGATGTACTGAGCTGGGTTCAAATCCTGACTCTTTCAGTTTTAGTTATGTGAACTTGTGCAAGTGGCAATCTCTTGTGTCTCAATTTCATCTATAAACTAGCATAACGATAGTTCCTACCTTGTAGGATTAAGAATTAAAGAATTAGTACCTAAAAGACTTATAATAGGCCTGGCACATGGTAAGCACTATATAAGTATTAGTTATCATTATTTACTTGTTATTATTATTTCATCTTCATTGGAAACCATTCCTGCACTAAAAACCCTGGGTTCCTTGCTTTGGTGCTACCATTCACTTATTAGCAAGCAATGCTGTTATCCAAGGAATATTGAGTTTTGCTTAGAATAGAAGCCCTATATAGTAGAGACCCATCTGTCTGTTCACTGTTAATATACCTTTCTCTAAAACAATACCTGAAATATTGCAGTTGCCCAATAAATAGCTATAGAATGAATTAAATGACTATACTGGGCCCTCTAATGATGTGTATAATCAAGTCATTGTACTTTTCCTATAGTTATTATTTTATCCTTGAATATATTTAAATAGCAAAGCTTATACAAATAAGAAGATGTGGATTAAATCCGGGAGGAAGTGGCATCAGCATGCATAAACATAAGGTGCTTTTTCTCTTGGTTTCACCTCTAATGAGGAGGCCCTTAGAGGAGGACATAATGAATCATTATTGGTACAGAATAAAGTTCAAGAATCCACAATATCCCTTTTTCCCAGAACATGTTTTCATCATGACCAAAAATAAGAGTTCTCACTATGGTCTCTGGAATCTCCAAATTCTTCCTTCTGGCTAAAGTAATGACCTCTCAACCCAATCGTTCTTAGGAACCTATAGATCATTGTAAAGGACTTTGGAAACTGTTCAGACCTGAGACCTGCAGGGTGTGAGAAGCTGGGACAGAATTGACTACAATCCCTGGAAATAAAACCTATTGGCTAAGGCCCATAGGGATTTGGTAATTTCTCTTACACATATTTTTCAGCTCTACCTGGAATGTTAGAGTTATCAAGTCCTTCTAAAAAGCTAGTTAGCACTTTGTAAGTTGATGGTCAATATCCTGTACTGACTAAATAGAGGGAAGATAGTTTCATTGTGTAAATATGTTTATTAAAATAACTAGCTCAGTGGCCATTGAATATTTGTGGGAAGAAGTTTGACATTTGTATAGGATAGCTTGAAATGCATCGGTTTAAAATACTGGCACTTTCCCCCCAGATACCATACAACTTCACCAAGTCCACTTAACATGCATTTGTCGATATAAAAATATCCACTGTTAAGCTACCAGTAAATTTATATTCCTAATCTTACATGTTATTCTGCATTCTTTTTTTTCTTTTTTTAGATGCATTTTTAAATTTTTTAAAATTTTATTATGTTATGTTAATCACCATACATTACATCATTAGTTTTTGATGTAGTGTTCCATGATTCATTGTTTGTGTATAACACGCAGTGCTCCATTCAATACGTGCCATCTTTAATACCCATCACCAGGTTAACCCATCCCCCCACCCTCGTCCCCTCTAGAACCCTCAGTTTGTTTCTCAGAGTCCATAGTCTCTCCTGGTTCGCCTCCCCCTCTGATTTCCCCCCCTTCATTTTGCCCTTCCTACTATCTTCTTCTTCTTCTTCTTTTTTTTTTAACATATAATGTATTATTTGTTTCAGAGGTACAGGTCTGTGATTCAACAGTCTTACACAATTCACAGCGCTCACCATAGCACATACCTTCCCTAATGTCTATCATCCAGCCACCCCATCCCTCCCACCCCCCACCAATCTGCATTCTTAAAGGAGTTCTCCTGAAAAATGGAAGAAAAACAAATGGGGCTACAGAGTTGTATCACTATTGTCCCAAACTCCTTGAAACATTTCTGTTTAGTATGCAGTGGACCCTGCAGATGGTATGTGGCTCATCAAAACCCCCACATGGCCATTATTAAGGATACCACTTCTCTACCAAACTACTAATCAAATTAAATAACAGATCTAAAAATATGCTAATTTGAGTTTGCCTTGTTTTCTCTTTAACAGGCATACCAGTTTAGAAAAAGATTTTAAGAATCTGGATAATGAGCGTACTAGGAAAAATGCTCAAGAATGAAATAGTAACAAATTAAAAGATGAGGTGTGAGATAATCTCTAGTCTTTCTCTCAAGCCAAATTAATCCCAGATTTACAGAAGAAAAAATTCAGGTATCTTCCATCCCTCTTCAAATTCATGAAGGCTGTAGCAAAAAGGATTGAGGTTAGATTGGTTAACCATGTGGATCTTATCCTTTTCCCCAACAGAGAGATTCTTCTTCTTTTCTCTCAAAGCAGAGGTGTAAAGTGTCAGTCTGAGCACAGGGATCTGGCCTATTTCTTCTGAGTCTGTTTCAGCCTTGCAGCAAAGCCACGGGCAGAAACTAACTTGAGTAGAGCAGACACTGCTCCAAGTAGCATGGTTCCCATGCACACACGCGTAAGGTGGAGGCCATTCAAAACCAGCTGGGATGTTGTCTGGTTTGCATTTGGCTCCCTTCCCAGGCTCTCACATGTGACTTCTTTGTTGCAGACAATGACAGTGACAAAACAAAAGCACTCAGGGATTTGGTCTCAGTCGCATCTGTTGCTTTGCTTATTGTCTTAATTTAATTACATTGGCCACCCTTGACAATGGGCAGCAAGTGGAGGCATGTTAGAAGCAGCCGGAACTGGCACCCACCTTCAATGCACTTCTTGAAGGGTTATGAAACTGTCCCACATTGAGCCAAGCAAAAACTTTTCACTTCAACAGCTTGTCCAAGACAAACAAACCAGCTGACACTGTTTCTAGTATGCAACTAGACAGATTTTTGAAAGGAAAACAGTAGTGAGTAAATATTGTTTCCTACTGACACCAGGGAAGGTAAGATTATTAAAAAAAAAAAAATCTTGGCCCTTTAGCTCACTCAGGTTGGTTGAGGAAATTTATCACTTCGAAGGAAATGTTAACCAACTCATCAGGGAATAAGTTTCAGAACATCTTAATTTGTGATATACATAATAATACATTGTGTACCATACACAGATATTTAGGAAGCTGGTGAATGCCCTGAAGTATTACATGAAATTCACATTCTCCCATTGTCTCTTGGCTCTTATCCTAGCTCCTGGCTTTACAAAAGAAAGCAATCCACAAACTTTTTGATTGAAAAGATCACTGAGAGCTAATAACAATGGCAGTAACAATAACCTTGATTAACATTTGCAGACACTTTATAGTTTACATGGTAATCTCCAGTAAAGTGATATTATTTGCATCAGTCGTATTTATAACCTAAGGCTTGCTAAGATTTGGTGACTTGCTTGAGGTCACATAAAAACAAACTGATAGACCTAGGACTAATAATTAGACAATTTATTATTTTAATAAGATACTTCTCTCGCTCAGGGCTGGGCACTACATTATATATGTTAATTGCACATATTTTTCTTATTTAATTTTCCTAGTTCTCTTGGGGATGGATAATATGTCTTGTTCATTTTGCCTTTAAGGAATCTGAAGCTTAGAAAAGCTAAACAACCAGTTTCCTCTGATTCTGGAACTCACCAGTTAGCCATTCTACCATATTGCTTCTCCAAAAGATAAAACATTTTTGGGTGCTTCAAGGTCCAAATATCTTTCCAATAATAATAATTGACAATGTTATAAGCTGCCCATGATCCCAGCTGGTGGTTATATGCTTGTTTAGAGGGTAAGGCTAGACTCTAAACTACGGAGGTGTACCGTCCCTTACCACAAGAGTGAGCTGGGCCCCATTTATATTATTATTGATAGGAATTTAGTAGCACAGTATTCATTTAGGAAAAGCTAACCCTGTGGATATCATAAGCCCTTCTTTTTGCCCCACCTATCTTTATGAGGTTTTGCCTGAGAAACAGCATCTAAAAGAAGGATGATAATAGTCTCTTTAAATTTCAGAGAGGAAGCAGTGATGTTTTCAATAGACTATGTTTCCATCTCAACTACTCCAAACAAGTAAGTATTGTATGACATAAAGTCTAAGAAAAGCCTGGCACCCTATAAGAAATGCTGGGAAAATAATGTCCAGCATGGAATATTAGCAGCCTATTTTATATCAGACGAGATCAGACGCATTCAGGGTGGTATGGCCGTAGACAGAAGCCTATTGTATAGGAAAAATCCTAATTCAGCATTGACCTTCTCCTAAAAAGGGCAAAATAGGGGGGAAACAGAGGAACAGATAATTGGAAAGATCGCCCAGATATCAGCTCTTTGCTTGTAGAAAAGGATGTGCTCTAGCTACTTTGCTGGTTTGGCCTGGAGACACATGAAATTGTGGAGGATGATTTAGATGTTTCAATATCAAAGTTACTTCAGGGAATCACAAGTTCAAATTCCAGGATAGTTGGGTCAGCCTTTCATCTCTGGGAGCCAAGAGAGTAAGTGTC